TCTACATCTACATCTACATCTACATCTACATCTACATCTACATCTACATCTACATCTACATCTACATCTATCTCTATCTCTATCTCTATCTCTATCTCTATCTCTATCTCTATCTCTATCTCTATTTTCATCTATAGGATAGTACATATTATGTACGTCGTTGTTGGAGCAGCATTTGTTGAGACACGCAACAAAAATGCGCCTGAGCTTCCCGTAGGCTGCAGGGCGACGCCGCTAGAGTTCATCCTGGAGAGGGCCCCATGCATGTCTTGGAGCGTTTGGCTGAGGTGAGGGAGTCTCTTTGGGGGGTAGCTCGTCGTAGTGAGGCCATGACACTTGCAAGCCGCATGCTGTGGCTGACCCTGCTGCCTCTGGCAGCAGCCGAAAACGGCCAGGGAGCCTGGGCATCCCGGTGGGCTCGGATCTACCGGGGCGTTGCTGGGCTCTTGTTAAGGAGTTTCATTGGGTTAGGGTTTAGGGTTTAGGAGTTTCTTTGAAGTTGCCACAACAAGGAACCATAGTCTCTGAATTTTCTGCCTCCCCATGAAGGTAAGTCAACTCAAACTCCTTGACAAGAACGAACCCAGGTTGCCGCGACCCCGTGGAAGGACCACCACATGCGCTACAAGTATCGCCCCGGCGATGGCACCGCCAAGAAGATCCAGGAGGGGCCTCTCATGCGAGAGTCAGAAACTCTCGAGGTCTTCCTTTGGGTTTTCTTATTGTAGCTGTAGCATAAGAAACCCCATACGAGTCTTTTTTTTTGGGGTTTCGTATTGTAGCTAGAGTATAAGAACCCCCTTCGTCTTATACCTGAGAGGGAACCTGGTAGTTTGATGAAGAGGCCGTATGACCTCAGCAAAATGCTGGTACCCCAAACACCTCAAATCCCCGAAGCCCTACAAACCCCAAGCCCGAAAAGCAAGAACCCCAAACCCTGCACCCTCAACCCCTAAACGAAGACAGCCCCCCTCCCCCACAAGCCCCCCCCCCCTTCCCCTTCCCCAAAAGGAGCACGTGGCAAAGCGCCGGCTCATGGACGTCACTGACCCGGACACGGACCAGCCCTATGGCTCCGATGCCAGCGGCACCTACACCCCCAGGACCGAAATGAAGGGATTTGTGTTGGGTCTTTTTGGGGTGTAGGGGGTTCGGGGGGTTTAGGGGGTTTAGGGGGTTTAAAGGGTTAGGGGTTCAGGGTTTAGGGTGTAGGAGGTTAGGGTTTTGGGGGGCTTGGGGGGCCTCCCTCCTACATTTTTCTGGACCGGGCTGTTCGGAGTTCTTTTTCGTTTAGGGTTTAGGGATACTCTAGGGGTTAGAGGCATTTCTAGGGTTGTCGATTTCGGGCTTTTGCTTGATTTGGGCTTAGGGCAACAGGTTCAGGCGGATTCCGAGCTTCAACTGATCCGGGTGTAGAGGGAGTGTGCTTTTTTCCTTCGGAAGCGGGCTTAAGGGTTCAGATTTTCTTGGGTTGCATCGAGGGTGTACTAGGGTCTGGAACTCCAGGGTGAAGGGATCTGCGGTTTCAGATTTTTCGGCTGTGCTGTAGGGTTTCGGTTTTGATGAATGGCGTTTTGGTTTCTTTCGGCTTCTTGGTCTTTGCGCTTTTGCCGTCACAGGACCGACGGCAAGGCGAAGATGAACGGCGAGTTGTTTGACTACGGAATCTTCGATTGCCCTTGGATGCATTCCTTGGATCCGGACTACCCGGCCATGTGCCTGCCCTACCAGGAAATCCGTGGTTCCAGAGCCCCGAACCCTACACTCTCCGCTCCTTAAATCACTAAAGGCACTGCACCCTGGCTCCCGAGACCCTAAGCCCTGCTAACTCCTTTTCTCTGCCTTTTTTTTTATAACTGGAGTCCTAAAAGATACATTCTACACTCCTTACATCTGCCCTCTACACTCCTACATCTGCCCCCAAGCCCGACACCCAACAAAGAAATAGAAACCGTTTAGACCCTGAATCCTAGAACCCTTATAATAGACATACGATGATATAAATCCTGCATTACCTTAAGGACCCAAAACCATGGGAATTATCGTAAATTCCTTATTATGGGTACTGCAGGATGTATATATCATCCACCGTAGTAATCCTCTACGAGGAGATCCTTTCGCCCATTCCTGCTGCCGACCTGCCCACAGAGACGGTCTTCAACGTGCCGGGCGGCCTGGTGGGTGACTTCGCTGCCCGGGACTCCACCTTCACCATGCCCGATGCTGGGTCTGGTTTATGAAGAATTCCTTTTTTTTTTGTCGGTAGGGGCGTGCAACTGCGTGAAATGATTCCCTTGTTTTGATATAACACAATGCCAGAAAGAATCCATATTTTAAAGCCCGATAGATCCACATAAAAACCCGACCGACGCCCTAAACCCCTTTAGCCTAGACGGAGAAAGTCCGAAACCTTAAACCCAAAAAGAATCATTGAAACGAACCTTACAGATTATAAACCCTTAAAAAGCAGTCTCAAACCCTTCAGCAGCCCCTGCAGAACTGCAGAACCCTTATGAAACCCGTGGACCACTCATAATTGCCTGTGCAGTGCCCTTAACACGAAATCAGTACAAAGCCCCCCACAAAAGTTTTCTAAATTCTAAACCCCGATATAAACCCTAACCTCCCAAACCGCTCTACCTTGAAGCCCTGAGGGTTGAGCCCTTAAGGAACCCCCAAAAACGAGTCCAGAGGCCGCACAAAAATCCTCAAAAAAGATTTGAGTGAAGCCTCATAAAAAGCCGTCTAGACCCCTTTTAAAGCACTCATACAAGCCGTAAAGCTAGTTCGTAAGCAAGAGCTGAGCCTAAGCCCAAGCAGCCCTAAGCTTTGAACCCTTACGGAACCCACAATCAAAGAGCTCCGTGTAAACCTAAACCCCTAAACCCTAAACCCGTTAATGATATAAATCCTGCATTACCCATAATAAGGAAGATACCATAATTCCCAGAGTTTAGGGTCCTTAAGGTAATGCAGGTTTTAATATCATGAGCCCCTAAACCCTAAACCCTATCAAAAAAGAGCCGAGGACGGCCAGGAAATGGAGTGCAGCGACGAGATCGAGCGGCTGACGGGTGCGCGCTGCGCCGCCGGGAACCCAGTGCTTGGGCACCTGGGCTCTTGTTTTTTTTTTTTTTTGGGGGGGGTTTTAGGGTTTCTGGCTTTTTGGGGGGTTTAGGGGTTTAGGGTATAAGGTTCAGGGTGATTTAGGAGGCTTGGTGTTTTGGGCTTTGGGTTTGGGGTGTACTTTTTCAGGTTCAGGGTTTCGGGTCTAGGGTAAGGCTTAACCCTCCGAGGAACCCTAAACCCTAAACCCTAAACCCAAAACCCTAAACCCTAAACCCTTAAGTGAAGCGCCCTCAGAAGAGCCCAGGCACGGGGCGATCTGCGAGGGCGTCATCGAGGAGCTTTGGGGATCTTCGAGGTTCAGGGTAGGTTTAGGGTTCAGGGGCTTAGGGGTTTAGGGGTTCAAGGGTTTAGGGTTTAGGGTTCAGGGTGTAGGATTCAGGGTCAAGGGTTTAGGGTTTAGGGTTTAGGGTTCCGGGTTTTAGGATTCAGGGTCAAAGGTTTAGGGTTTAGGGTTTACTGTTTTTGAGTTGTGAGTCCAGGGTTCAGGGTCAACGGCTTAGGGTCTAGGGTCTAGGGTTTTCTGTTTCGGGCTTTTGGGTTTAGGGCTCCGGGTCAGAGGCTTAGGGGTTCAGGTTTTTTGGAGAGGTTTTGGGGGTTTGGAGCTCGAGCTTTAGGGCTTTTCGGGTTTAGTTCGAGCTTTAGGGCTTTGTAGGGTTGTCCTCCCAGAAAGGTGCCCAACGAAGCAGAATACGCAGATCCATCGGGGGGAGCTTCCGAAAAGGGACTCTAACTCCCCAGACCTTAAACCCTAAACTCCAAAACTCCTATGCCCTAAAGCCTAAACACCTATACATAGACCTTAACGTCAAATCTGAAATTTTCGGCTTGAATCCTGAATCCTAAATGCTAAACCCTAAATCGTAAATCCTAAACTTTAAAAGCCCTGAGCTACAGAACCCTGAAGCCTAAATCCTAAAGCCCTGAGCCATAGATTAGAACCCGGAATCCTCCACCCTACAATATCCTAAAACCCTGAGCCCCAGAACCCTAAATCCTAAATCCTACAGCCCTGAGCCGCTAGAACCTTAAATCCTAAATCCTAAAGCCTAAAGCCCTGAGCCTTAGAATCCTAAATCCTAGATCCTAAAGCCCTGGGCTCTAGAATGCTAAATCCTAAATCCTACAGCTCTGGGCGCTGAGCCCTAGAGCCCTAAATCCCAAATCCCAAATCCTAAATCCCAGAACCCTAAATCTTAAATCCTTTTGAATCCTAAACTCCGGTGGCTTTTTGCTTTGCAAATTCTGCCTTAAAAAAAGTAGCATCTTGTAATTGGCCGCTGGCCCATGTCGACTTCTAGGCTTTTGTTCTTGTGTGCCAGCCCTAAACCTTTCGAAATGCTAATTCCTGCATCCTAAACCCTAACTCCTGAAGCCCTGAGCCCTAGAACCCTAAATCCGAAATCCTAGAACCCTAATTCCTAGGACCCTAAATCCTAAATCCAAAAACCCATGTCCTAAACCACAAAATCCTAAATCCCGCAAATCCTAAATCCTAAAGCCCTGAGCCCTAAATCCTATATCCAAATCTTCAATCCTATACCGAATTGCAGCTTTGTTGTAGCTGCCCTCTTCAAGAAACAAAGACCGGTAACAAGACGACAACTAATTTTGGGTATTGCTAAGGCACCGGATTGCAGCTTTATCATAGCTGCTTCTTGAGGATACTACGACCGTGTGAACAACTCTTATGGGGCTTCTTTGTGTTTTTACCGTGACCCAACTTAATTGCAAAGTCGATGAACCGAATTCCATACAACTCGCTAAATTGAAATCATAGGGCTGTGAAGACTGATTCAAGAGAAAAGGGGTATCTTAATGAACGGGATTCTGGGACGGTGGGGTATGTTCGACAGAAATGCGAAAGCCGAGCGCAACACTAGCCGTAGCCAATCGTAAACCCTAAACTCCTAGACCCCAAACCCTAAACCCTAAACCCTAAACTCCTAGACCTTAAACCCCTAAACCCCAACTCCTATACTCCTAAACTCCCAGACCCTAAGCCCTAAACCCCCAAACCCTAAACCCTAAACTCCTAGACCCTAAACCCTAAACCCTAAACTCCTAGACCCTAAACCCTAGACCCCAGACCCTCCTTCAACAACAAACCGCCCTGGATCGAGGACTGCACTTTCTCCAAAGCGGGGACTCGGAAGTGCGACAGTGACAAGTGCAAGGAGTGGCAAGGACTGGGCTCTTGAGTTTAGGGTGTAGGGTTAAGGGTTAAGGGATTAGGGTTACCATAATAGGGACGATAGGAGAAATTTCGTTTTTTTTGAAATGGTAAGTTTCAGTTACCATGAAAGGGATCTAAGGTAAATAATCTGGCATCTTTATATCTTTCTTTTGTATGGTAACTGAAGCTAAAGTCCTCGACATCCTAAACCCTCAACCCTAAACCCTAAACCCTATAAACCCTAAACCCCAACCCCAAACCCCAAACCTTAAACCCTAAACTCTAAACCCTAAACCCTAAAAGAAGCCAGAGGAAAGACAAGATGTACCGGAGCCGATTGCACGGCGGGCTACGAGGGCGGCCGCGTTCCTTACCCGGAGGTTTATCCGGGCAACAACGGAGGATCCTTTGCTCCGCAGGCTGGGTTTAGGGTTTAGGGTTTGGGGTTTAGGGTTTAGGGTTTAGGGGTTTAGGGTTTAGGGTTAGGGTTTAGGGTTTAGGGTTTAGGGTTTAGGGTAATTAAGGAACTTAAGCAGAGTAAGTTACGATAAACAGGAAAATCCCGTTATCGACTGTAGACCCCACTATGGAAGCAGAAATTGACCCGAAACCCTAAACCCTAAACCCAGCAGGCAGACACGGATGAGGCGCAGAAGTGCTCCAAGGCAGACTCGGCCCTGCAGTGGCTTAAGTGCGGGATCCCATGCCCGGCTGCGTTCCCGATGTCCGTGGAGGACTTCACGGGCCGTGCCGCTGTGGTCCTGGGCTTCATCGTGATCTCCATGGGTGCCGGTCTCGCGACCTACTTCAAGGTGGGAGGGAGCAGCGAGAACTTCTTTGTGGCCGGCCGGGACTTGCCCGTGTGGATCTTGGTGTGCACGCTTGGATCCCAGTGCTTGGATGCCAGTTCCGCACTTGGTAACCTGGACCTCGCTTACAAGTATCACTTCTGGGACGGGGCGGCCCTGCCAATCGGCTTGGCTCTCTCGCTGTTTCTATTCCGCAATTCATCATCCAAGCCTTTGGCCGATTGCTTTTCGCAGTTTATACTCGCGGAAAGTCTTTTTTGTAACTGTCGGGCTCTTTTACCTTAAGCCCAAAACCCTAAACCCCAAACCCTACCCTAAACCCCAAACCCAAAACCCTAAACAGCCACAGGCTCATCGTCGGGACCTTCCTAGCAAAGCCCCTCCATGCCATGAAGCTGCTCACGCTCCCGGATGC